AAACTTTACACTCACCCCGAGCTTCTCTCCCTAGAAAAATGTGGATTATTCACGCAATATGAACTGTCGCACCACATGCTGCCTCCCCCTGACTTGATAAGACCCGAACAAAATTTTAGCCGAGCCTTCACGTAATTCTTCGAACTGATGAGCTGGTTGCACTGAAAGGCAGTGTGAAATAGCGCGCCCCAGTGACAAGAACTGCGCGTGCAGCAACAATAAACACAATAAACACGCGCATTCTATGAAAATTTACTCACTAGCTTGAGTGCGGTGGCTAACCTTCAAACCTTTTTTATAGTTGGAACACGTTCCTTGAGTAGTTCTGCTGAAGGGTGTTGTGATTCTCTGTTTGGAGAGGAACGAAAAAATTCGCATACAATTGCGTGTGGTTTCTCATTCACTTATTCTTTGTTGTGTGTATCATAATTACTTGTTTATTTTTTCTATTATTCTTTATGTGTTTTTGAATGCAGTAATCCTAGTTCCATCCAATCGTAGTAAACTTGATCGTTGATTTATTGTCTTCGAATAATCTGCCTTTTCATTCATTTATCCACCTGTTCAAGCGGCAAGCCGAAATGGGTCGACATAAGCCAACGAAGATGAAGAAGCTTCGGTCCGTGTTACCTGGTCAAGAGCCGGAGAAGAAGTCTGGAAAACTCAATAATTGTACACAAAGTATTGACTCCATAAAGCCGACTCCGAGGAAGATGAAGGGGATTGACGAGGATAACGAATCTCCCGCATCTAGGATTCCTTCTGCCCCTACAATTGCGCGATTGGTGAGGAATTTATGCTATCTGCTTTAGAAATTTCTTCTCATACGACAGCGCTATCACACACGACTAATGTTAAAACGGGGCTTTTGGCGTAAATGGGGGGGGGTAGTTAGTGCTAACAAAGCAAATTTTGCATTTAAAAACCACTAGAATTGTTCATGGTCGACGACCCAGCCGAATAGGCGGCTTGGCAAACGAACAAGATACCTATCGATTAGGCGGGTAGCGATCGCTATTGCGCTTGGCGAAACGCTCATATGGTGTAGGCAACAAAATTGATTCTTTTTAAACTCCTTTTCAACTATTTCTCTTATTTCATCTTTTTCTATTCTCTCATTCGGCGATTTCCCGAATGGTCCAATTTCGACTTTTTCAATATTGGGGGATTATCATCCTCTGTCTCTTGAAGCCTTACGGATCGGTAAAGCCGATGTCAGGCTTTGCGAATCGCGCGATTCGCTAGCGTCCGCGGTCGCGTTGCGGTACCAGCCAATTGAGTGATTCACTGGCCGCGACGCGACCGCAGACGCTAGCGAATCGCGCGATTCGCAAAGTCTGACATCGGCCTAAACTTTCATTAGGTCAACGTTTCGGCGTCTTTGCCTTCGCTATTGCTCGAAATGGCCAAAATGAAGGTGAAAGCTTATCCTCTCTAACGGGCTTGACATAGGAAAGACAATAACTGTTAGCCGGGGAAACCCCCAAGCAGTTGATTCGAAGCGCCGATGTGGCTCCTTCTTGACCTAAGCCGTCGGGAGTGGGATCAGTTACCCTGTAACTGACTAACCTGGAGTAGTGCCTAACAGAACCACCCCTTGACCTCGTGGTAGTTCAAAGTCTACAAAGATTAAGAAAGAGAGCGAGCTCACGAGTTATGCCACACATTCTTTTTTCCTATTCATTGTGGTGGTGGTGGTGGGAGAGGTTGGCAGTAATCGAGGATGCTCCAACATCTATTGCCACGCCCATGATCTCGGGCTCTTGCTGCCACGATATTGGTTACACTCCCTTCCAGTGGAGTGTGGGTTTGAGTCTTTTGAGCTTCCCAGATGTTCCTTAACCCGCACATGAAGTTACCATGAATGAACCCGTCTCTATGTACTGCACAGACGCCAGCAGTGGATTCGAGTAGCATTACTGTTGATTGCCATAAGCTCAAGAGACAGCATCAATTTGTCGGTAGTAAAAATGGATAGAATATAGATCGGAGAAAGGGTTGGATTACTTTGGACATTAAAACACCTACTGCTACATGCGGAAGCCAGACGTTGCTCATAGCCAGGCCCCCGAGCTGTTTGTAGTATTCGCCTGCCCACCTGAATGAAGCCCAGGCTTTCCTGTAGTGTCGTCATTATTTGTGAGATAGTAAATCGAAGATGTTAAGCAAGGATTTATGTTCGCGAAACATTCATATGTGGCTTCAAGCGCAGTGATATTTGGGTTGTTTACTAGTTTAGTGAATGTTAGGGCGGCTTAGCGTGCAAATCTTCTTTGGCAATTTCAGGCTCTAACCGAAGCAAAGACGACGAAATGTTGGCCAAAGAAAAGTTTCACCAATCTGGGTGATGCTTGAAAAGGACGAGAGCGGGAAATTCATATGATAGGGCTGGTGTCAGAGTCCGCGATCCGTCGCAGGTTTCGCTGATTTCGCGATTTCGCGATTTGCGCGATTTGCGCGATTCACGCGACGGGTCACGGAAATCACAAGTGCCCGATCAATACTGCAAGGTGTTCTCCAATCCTGCCGCCACTTCTGCTTGATAGTGATGGCTGAATGACGACTGCTCATGATTCCACTTGTTTCATATTCAGTGTTTCAAATGTTCACACACTTGCAATTTTTGCGATCCGTCGCAGAATCGCGCAAATCGCGAAAATCAGCGAAACCTGCGACGGATCGCGGACTCTGACACCAGCCTGTACGTATTCGATCCTTTCATCCATCCACCTTTTCTTCGGGGCTGTATACTATAACAACACCTAAAATTCTAGAAGAACAACAATTAATCAATTAAAAGAGATGCTGAAATCGCAGCTCAGTTTCCTCATGAGCAACGAGCTTAATTTATGCACTATTTCCTGACCTTTTTTCGATTTCTCTCCATTTTTTTCATTTATTTTACTACTTATCATTGGTTTATTTGGATTTACACTTTATTGGACGCGGCTTGAGTAATAGGCAATCAAGAGGATGACAGTCATTGTCAAAACAACCAAAACACCTTTAGGTGGGGCAGTCACCGCTGCTTTCACGGCGTCCTATAGTTCGAATCGAGTAATCTGAGAGCCAGGGGTGCATAGTTAACGGATGGGGGTGGGGGTAAGACGAGTCATTTGACATGGAAAACTGGTATGTGCGAGTTTACACTCCCTTGTTGAAAGCGAATAGCCGCGCGCGCGGCAGCAGCGCCTGCCTTCTCCTCTCCCTCCCCTTCTCCCTTCCCCCTTCAACTAAGTCAGCACCATTTTGATATCTCTGAAAGCTGCAGCAAACATGAGAGATTCTTTCATTTCCATTCGATTCGAGCTCGAACAATATCGAAATCATGCGCCCCTTCCCTGACGACGACAGACCCCTGAAACTCTTCTCACTCGAATAGCACAGAGGAACTGCAGAGCATATGTAACGCTTAGTTCCGATCGCATTGCTAACCGCTCGAAATTCATGCAGCAAAACTTGAATATTAAAAAATTTCATTTTTTTGGACACGAAACAAAGAGACCGAGGCGAAAGTGATTTGGTTAAGGCTGGTTCAGAGTTCACGATCCGTCGTGCGTTCGCGCGAGTCGCGACGAATCACGGACTCTCACACCGGCCTGAGAGTAAAATTGCGCAGTGTTAGGCACTATTGCACTGTTACAACTCCAGAAAAGGTTAGATGGGGCTAAGAATTTTTTTTACTGAAATTGCGTGGGGTTATGGAAGCGCCTGAAATGAATGTCATATTCGTGATCAGGAGCTTCGATACTCAAAGGGGAAAAGTTCCCAAAAATATTTTTTTGCCTCGTCTCATCCCCACTTGGCTTGTAAGTGCTATGTGCTCAATGTTATTTTTACTGCTCATTGTCCCAATTTCGATATTATTGGGGATTTTTTTGAACTTCGAATACAAAAATGTGCGAATATTTTTGGGACAACCACACTTAATCAAGAGGGAATATCATAATTTTGAGACTTCAGCTTATGTAAAAAAAAACCTGTTCTTATTACAGAACAAAACGAGGATTTTGAAGGATGCCGCTGCAACGAAACGAAGGTGTGGTTACTACCTTATCGTCTTTTTAAGAACTGCTTCTATATTGTTTCCCGCGGTGAGGCAGCTCACGTGACGCAAGTGGCGATGGCCTCGATAAAAAACCGATATCACGTGTGCTTTTCAACGCTATTGATCCGATGCGTGGTGATGCCACATACTAAGTGTGCAATTGCGACATGTCCGTCGACGAGATACAGCATGTACAACATTTCAGCATAAATGGTTCCATCCTGAAATCCGAAGAAAATGTTGATGAGAATAGCCGTGTTCGAGATTCAAATGAACATCTGGTAAGTCATCTTCTTCTCGTAGGCATTACATCTGCAAAACTAGGCTGCTTACAGAAGGAATTAACTGCACATGCTTTGAATGGAATGACTTCATCGGATTTTCGCGACAGGATGCTGTGTGAGTTGCAGTTTGTCAAATTGTTCACATTTTCATTTTAACCAATGAGCTCTATTCAAGCATCTCTTCGTACGTACAAAGCTATGTCGACATTAGATGCTGGAACGCGGCCAGTCTTTCCAGCCTTATCTTCGTCGTAACCTTCTGTATCGGATGGCATTTGCCGACAGAGTGAGTTGCTTATTGTAAAATACAGAACAAAATCGTTGTGGTGCCGTTCGAAGAAGTAAGATCGAAACTGGTAATCATTTTAATCCATGTTGACATATCTACAAACAGTTGTTAGCAGTTCTTATGCGAATGGCCGCACATGGATTTGAACGAGTGTAGTATGACAGAAACGGACAGGGAACGACTTTTTCACTTTTCACAACGCGGAAATTTTTCGCTGCGGAAACCCCAGGTCCAACCATGACCAGGGGTGGCTGAAATTCCAGGAGCAAAGAATTTTGCGCTGTGAAGGAGGAAGAAGTTGGCTTGTCAGTCTTAGGAACTTCAACGCTGGATTGGGTCTTCATACTCCGCGCAGCTGCAAATCTGCATGCAAGAAAACCTGGCTTTTTTAATTTCACCCTGTATTTGAGGAGCAAACTTTTTGTGATCCATTTGAACTATATGCTTCGTGTATGGCTTCAAATTTAGTGTCGGCCACATTGAATATTCCGTCGTGTTTGTTTTGAAGTACTTGGCTGACCAATTTTTGTCTGCCGTCAGGCGCGAATTCGAGCAAAGGGGCTCGGCATTAGACTTCCATAAGGCGATGTCAGACTTTGCGAATCGCGCGATTCGCTACTAGCGATTCGCTAGCGTCCGCGGTCGCGTTGCGGTACCAGCCAATTGAGTGATTCACTGGCCGCGACGCGACCGCAGACGCTAGCGAATCGCGCGATTCGCAAAGTCTGACATCGGCCTAATAGTCCTGAGCCCGCGCATCACTTTGCTGTAATTTTCACGTTCCTGAACAGTCCAGTTGATTACAGTTTTCTTTGATTTCCACATTAGGAAAAAGTTAGGGTTGGAAAATTCGCTGAATACTGCTGATATCTCTTCCCATGTTATACCCGTACGCGAAGTTTTTGAAACTTTTTCGTTGCAGTGCATTCCTTCATTTTCAAATTGATCCTATTTTCGCTTTCTATAGGCTTCATGCGTGGCTTAGTGAGCTTATCCGTTGTTATTGCATCGTTATTTATAAATTGACGCAACTTAAACACCCAATGCAGCTCCATTTTCTCGCGATGCGTTCGAGTCGGACGGGCGGCATGTTGGTAAACGCTCCATTCATGAATCAGTGATTATTCTATAGTATTTTATAGCTGGTTATTCTATAGTGTTTTATAGCTATGTTCATAACTGCGAATATAATTGCAGTATTGCTCGCTTAGTCTGTTGTGACAAGGCTGTTTTCTTCGTTACTAATTTGGTTTTCGCTTTTTAGGCTGTCCCCTCTTTCACTTTTGGTGAAGATGAACCACCTCTGGTGTGGCCTTGGACGCCTAGACGATCTCCAATTCAGAGAACACCACGAGAGAGAAAAGAACGACTGTGTAGTCTAATCGAAGCTCTGTTATCCAGAAATGCTATTGAAGACAACGTGAGAGCGCTTGTCTCCGTGTTATTTTGATTTTGGACTCGTCGGCAATATTATTTTTTAGATCCGTCAGTGCGAAGATATCCGAAATTTTCATTTCTCGATCGGTACCTTAGCCGTGTTCAAAAAGACAGGGGATAGACATGTTCTTTATCGTAGCCTGGCCTATAGAAGATTTCTCAAGGCTCGTGGAAAGGTGATTTTTTGTGACATTTTACAAGTGTTCGTTTTTTTATTTGGCATCGGCGTACCTCAGGAATGGAACGTTGTGCCGATTGTGACGTTATCTGTAGCACTTGTTCAACGCGAATTTCAGAAAATCGTGATACAGGCCTTACTCGCCGTGTGTAGCGTTTACCGGAATTTGACGTGGCCGGCGGTCATACTTAATAAACACAAAGTCGGACGGATAGCGTGTCGCCAAAATGTTCCTCTGGAATCAGCAAGTTTGCTGGGCGTACACGCTTATCCACGCTACTTATCAAGTGCAGCGGCCAGCCACGCGCTTTTATGACGGGCCACTCAGAGACCGTATATGTTGACTGTTAAATGCTTTGACTGTTTGTGTTTGCCGGACGCCGGTGAAGAAATTTTAAAGTTTTTTTGTTTGCCATCCGCACGATGACAAGCGTCCGCAGTAATCAAATTTATGTCAAGGTCCAGTGCTGAAGATGTTCATTGTTGTTTCCTAGCTCCACTACCATTTTAGAGCATTGGTGTAGCCTAAAATGCCACGTTGGAGTTTTTGCACCTTTGCAAGTAGTCTTCAAGTTTTCGCGATAAAAAATTTTGGAGCCTCACATTGGTTTTTTCACGGTCACCAGATTTATCTAACTTCCAATTCTACTCTTGTTTTTAGTCGTTTCCGTACTCCGCACGAAAATACGCCGATAATTCGGATCATGTTGGCCGCATAGAGTATCCAGCTCGTACAGCTTACATTTCTGATGACGCCGCAACACTGTCCTTCAGGTTCATTAAATACCATTTTTGGTGATTTTTTCTGTGTATTTCGAAACCTTCTATTGTAGAATGGTTTGTCATCATCTTTTGGAAGGTGAACGGTTAGCTAAAGTGCAGGTCTACACTGTGCGTCAAAGAGGAGACGTTTTCGAACCAGCAGTGAGTTATTCCCTCTCTTCAAATTTGTTCAACGTCAAAATATGTGAATCTAACATTCTTTTTAGGAAAGACTTCCGTCGGCTACATTCACTGTTCCTGTAAATGTGCCAATGTCGCCAGTCTCTATCGATGTACCCACGATTCCGAATGATACACAACTTCGAGTATATGTTGTGGTTCGAGTTGACATCACCAATAATTTGAAAGGCATTCGCATTGATGGTGAGTTCTTTGCAAAAGTCCGGGTTCTAAAAAGGAAACCGCCGCAAGATGTGGTTCGCTAGGAGAGGAAGCGACTTTTCCGCTTTTCGCTTTCCGCTACAGGAACTCCGGGTCCACCGCTGATCAGGAGTGGGCCTGGGGTTCTTGCAGCGAAAAAAAAAACTTTGCGTTGCGGAAAGCGGAAAAATTCCTTCCTGTCCAAGTGAATAACGCTCACCACGGCATGGAGATCTTCTAGCAGTTTGGAGTAATCCATGCCGTGTGCTCGGCTTGGTATGGAGATGACGTTTTTGAAATCTTTGCAAAGTCATCTGCAGGAAACGGCTAGAGCGCAGGCAAAATATGGCGTAGTTTGGTAGCTGCGAAACAGATAAGCGTAGGCTCAATCCTGGAGTGGGGGTATGAGTAGCGCCTTGGGATGGATGAGCTCCTTGTCTGAAACTGAAACTGCATTCTCATTCCATGGTTTGGTCCGTTTTTTGCTGAAAAACCATTTTCTATTTAGGCCATGCTCTTCGGCATCTACCTAGTCGGATCGTACGTTCTGATAAAACCAGTCGAGACCACAGCGTCATATTTGAGGTCAGCTTCTTTCTTTTGATCTGTTCACTTGAACTTTTCTAGATCCTTTTTGTACAAGCTTTCGTTCGATGCAGTGCGCCTTTGTTGAGAGTGAGCATGTGTGAAGGTTGACACTTCTCAGTGGAGTGGCAGTCGCAGGATCTGTGCGTGACCCCTTGCTACATGCTGAGGTGAAGCTGTGGTCATCCGTATTCCTATTGAGTGACCTCGTTCTGGTTTATATGTGGCAAAACACTGTCGCAAAACTAGGATCACCAGCGTCTAGAGGAAGGACGACTTGAATTCACACTGTGTTTTGGTATCTTTTCCTTGAGAAACCGACTGTACTCCGTATTTGTGGGGATATCGTAGATGCTGAAGGCATGTTTCGTACATCTTTGTCCATTCTCCCTCATGGGAAATGTGGCCCCGCCTCTCCCAGTGCTTTTCCAGATAATACTGGATTTGACAGAAGACGGACCCACATAGACGCATTTGGGGCTTTATGCATACCAGGGGTGGCTTCTTCGTTTATGATCAAAGATGTAGGTTTTGGGAGAGTTATAAATTTAAAAGTTATATATTCACCCATTACCGTATCGTATTTGTATATCGTTCCCCATTTCTGGGACCAAATATCATCTCACTGTTCTATGTCTGACTTTTAGCATACCCTCCTGGGGACGAAGACTCTCTACAAGGATGAAGCAACATGGAATGGTTGTGGAGGTTTAATAGTAGGAGAGAATAACGTCACACTAATGTTAGTTGAATATTTATGAGTTTTTTTTCCTTTTGTCTCATGCGTGTTCTTTTTTTTCATTATTGTTTCCCTCCTCTGCTCGATGAGCATTCACTTCATCCCTAATGGGTCGGTGGGGCGGCGAAGTTTGATAGTTCACTCATGAATTTTTTCAAGGGAGATAATAATCTCCTATCATCTCACCTCTTGCCAAATTCGCATTTTGGACGCAATGGTTGTCAAAGGGTTCTGACGATATGGAGGTCCTTTGTGAAGCGATTCTTTACAAATCCCAAGGGCGGATGCGTGCGCCTGTTAGTATCACCGTAGCAGCAAAGGTTTCCGTGTGCTAAATGGCCTTTCGATTAGGTTAAGGTCCGTTCGTAAAACAGACAACCACCATAATCGCTCTATACGAAGTTATTACGCTGTCCTGAGTCAAGTTGGTCCATATTTTAACGTCAAAAGTGCATCTCTCGAATAGAGCGCACTATTCGCTGGTGTGAGTCCTTTCCATTAACGTGCTTCTGAAATAATTTCTGCCCAGTTTTTCGCATAGTGCAAACTGTTATGATTTCGTAAAGTGGCAATATGTTCATTTCTATGGACCGAAAAATTGGTTTTGTTCCTAAAGCATTCTGCAGCAGGCTCAGTTTGGTGAATTCCACTTTTTGTTGGATGCAGAAATTGTTTTGGTTCAGCAAGATCGTGGGGTGGGAGGGTTTTTAATAGTTTACCTTATGGAGCTTGCCAGTGTGCTGATCATAATAGTACTGTTTGAAATTGTATGAAGGGAAATTGGATGGCCAACGTTTCTTCGGCTTGTGCTGTTCCAATGATGTTGCTGATCGACTTTATTTGAACTCGCTGGGTTTACATAATGCGGCTATTAAAGTCTATCTCTTTGAGTGTGATCCAACCGATTTTATCTTTGCCATGGCTGTAACACGATTACCTAGTGCTATTTCAGTTTTTTAGTGAGCAGGAAAAGCTGAGCAACGATGTTTCCTCACCGATGATTGTGTCCGAGCTAGAATACTGGAGCAAGGTGAATGTTTTTTAGACCATTGACGGGAATGCAGCTAAGCGATAGGGATGCAAAGTTGCGACAGTATTAGCAGCCACAATATAATGTCCATGGTATACAACCCTCATGTTCTTTTTTCAGCGTCTTCACACTAATCCATTCCTGCAAATGCGAGTTGTTAGCGGTCCCGTATATGAAGACGATTCCGACTGCAGCCTTTCCGAGCGAAGGTAGGTGTTGTACTCATTCAGTTTAACAGTTAATGATTAATGATTAATGATTTATTGTCGGAAATTGAACGGTGAATAACAGAGTGTTAAAAAGTAAACAGAAACAAATCTTCGATAGCAAAATTTTTGAACCAATGGGGTGAAAGGGAGGGAGCTGCTTGAAGACAGTTGTACATTAGTTGGGCTGGTTCGCGTCGGATTGCACTGCATTTTATCCTAAAACTCGGTGCCTACTTTCGATCCTTTTTGTTGTCTCATCTGGCCAGGAGCAGTGTCATGTTTTCTTGGATTAAGCTTTCTTCAAGCCTAAGTATTAGTTCTTGGATTAAGCTTTCTTCAAGCCTATGTATTAGAAAAAATGAAGGTCGAAAATTTTAAATGAGCCCAAATTACTCAGATAATGCCAAATTTCGAAATGGACGCAAAAAAGTTTACGGAGCACTTCATTCATACGTAGTAAGAATAATAAGTCCTGTTTCAGCTCAAGGTCCACGGATGGCGTTGAGGGAGACGACGAACTGTCGGCTTCTTCTGGTAAGTTCACCTTTAATGCCTTTGGTTAAGTGCTTATAAAACATGGTAAACATAATTGTTTCATGTATCCATGTAATGCCCCATATATAGGGTGGAGGTGGGGTGGCAAATGCCGCTGTACCACATTTACGGTTAGTGAATCCATTTCTGTATCGTGCATCGTCTAGGCCAATCATACTTGTCATCCCTTTCAAGTCGATTAATTGGTATGGCTTGTGCTGCCCTTCGCTCATGGTAGAGTCCAAATCGCAATCCGAATGTCATTCCGATTCTGAATTGAAGTAGAGTGCGTGGCGCATTACAAAGGGGTCGATGCGGGGTTTGGTACCTGGATCGTTTCTGTGGTAATAGCGCCACTCACCATTGCTTCATGTCCATCGCATCTCAGTGATGCTATAAAAAGAATGGGAGATAGGGGTCGTCGCATAAGATTAACGTCAAGGCTTTCTGATGATTCATATCGCACTAAGTTTTTTCTCCATTTTATCTCTATATTGCTTGCACGTGTACTTTTTAAGAAGTGGATGATGTAGCGCCGCAACGGATCGAGCTCAAACGTACTATTGACCCTTATCTTGGCGCTTTTCGTCCTGGTGAAGATGGAAGATATATTAATCACGTTCAGACTATTGAAGCAAGTGAGTCCTTCTTTTCAGACATTGTTTCATTTGCAGATTGTGTTGTTTATGTTGTGTATGCACAGTATGTCACCCAGTGGCTTCTCGAAGGTAGAGTTGCAACTCGAGTGCGCTCGAACGATGATTGAACCTGGACATCACTTGTTAATAGGTTTCTGGGTTCGGACTGCCCTGTTCATATAGCATTTTTGTTCTGATTTTCTTTGAGCAGCAAAGTTCTTGAACAAAAAGGTGTAGATGCATTTGCTTTTGTTTATTTATTGATTGGTTCAAAATTACTTCATTTCGAAAGTGTTTCAGTGTTCCGCCCGTTGAAAAGTATGGGAAGAACGAGCCTAGTGATCGTGCAGAATTGGCTACGATTGGAAATCCCTCCCTTGATAACGTTAGCTTTTCCTTATCGTGAAGCAACACCCACCCCTTTGATTTCGTCTTACTTTATTATTTTAGATATCGTATCTCATCGGGTATGGTGCCTCGTGATGATGACATTGAGTCAACTGCGGTCTTCAAAGTATCGCCTTCGTCGAGGGTACCTTAATCATCAATTTTCTGTATCGGTTTATCAGGAGACACATTTCTTCCTAGGTGTCGAACTACGCGAGTTTAACAGAAGTTCAGAAAATGGGTTGGTTAACGGTGGTGGATCAGTATCAAACCGAAAAATGTATAATTTGCGGAAGGTTTGTATCTGATTATTTCACAACTTCCCGTTTTTGGTTGTTTTTTTACTGGTGGCTCATTCATTGACACGCTTTTTAGATCGTTTCACAACATGTATGCTCTCATGCTGCATTATCATCTATCTTATCCTCGCCTCACGTTCCAGTTCAACTTCCGTGTAGTGAGTGGTTTCTGCATACAATTTCATATTATGATTCTCTGACATTAATTATTTCGCTCTTTCGGTTGCTAAGTGCCTCCATTCCATCTTTCCATACGGGTTTCATCGTTGGAACTATATTTTATCGTAAACTGCGAGTGTAGTGCCCCGATCTTTCAGCAATTCTCCTCAATTATGTCACAATTTACATAAAGACGTATCATTTGGAGCGGTATTGAAAAGGTTTCTTGTGAAGTACGAATCCGTAACTGTGTCATCACATATGCCTAAAGGCTCGGTCCGGGATTAGGATAGCCTACGTCTTCCATCCCCGATCGTAGTAGACAGGCGGACAAGCGTTGATGTCGCGCCCCTTTTGCGGCTTGAAAGTGCGCGACAAAGGCGCAAGGAGCTCGTCCGACCCGCAACTCACACCTTCGTCCGCAAGCCCCACCTTCCGCTGTCGGTTGCCACGTGACGCTGCTTGAAAAGCGCGGGCGCATT